GAGAAAAATGCTAAGTGCTTTTCCACATTATGACTTCTTTCACCGTGAAATAGGGTTCCCAAAATTTCAGGATATGCATGTAAAAGTGAATAATATGTTTAATGGATTTTTTTTTCTGGAACCAAATAAAGCTTAGATTGAATTAAATTACATTACTCATATTTTGGGAAGCTTAATAAAGGTTTCCTCTAGTTTGCAGGGGATATAACGACCAGATGTCCTCTGGCACCATCTGACTCCTACATATGTTTTCATCTTCCCTGATAAAAGCAATTAACTAATTTACTGTCTTTATTTAACTGTCTGCATCAGTTTTTTTGGAATTAGATTTGTAAACATTCAGCAGCTACTGTGCCTATAAGTATGAGCTCCACAATGTCCATCGTTGACTTGAGAAAATATTGACATCAAAACCCCAGTAATAGTAACTTGGTGTGAATACAAGAGTGGACTTACTGTAAGTTTGTGGATTTCGCTGCAAAAATAAGATTTAGGACTTAAAATAAATTTTTTTGTCCTAAAGAATTGACTGAAACTTGAGTCTTAGTAGCAGTATTGTCTCATGTAATAAAGATGTGAAAGGACTGCAGCTAGTGCAGAGGTTTTTTTATGTAAAGAGATGTACTTGGTTATGAGCCAGTGCTATTGAAGGATTATGGTATTTTAATATGTGACTGTTCAGATTAGCTGCAGCTTTGGGTAAAAGTAGTTAGGTCTCGTTCGTTCTAACTTTGTATTTAATAACTTGGGCTAATTTTGGAACAAAATAAACATAACTTACCTACTATTCTCTCACTATTAAACCACCCCTGACATATGAAAAGGACATTTCTGTTTAAAAATGTCAAAAGTACTCTCCTTTCTTTTTCTCCTCAAGTATAGTACCCATTAATTACTTATTCATAATTAGTTAGTTTGTATTGATGTTGCTTTCTGGAATAAAAGATAAAAGTTATAAGTAAGTAGGTTTAGAAAGTAGTTTTCCAGCTCTATGTGAAACATTGGTTATCCATTGGTGTTAACTTTATCATAACAAAACAGTTTTCTAAATCATTTGAAAATACAAAATTTACAGGTACATATTCTTAAATGCTATATATTACATTTGATCTGCTTTCAAAATAACTTAAAGCAGCCTTTAGCTGATGTTTGTACGGTAAATTAGTTCTAAAAGAGATTACTGTAATTAAATGCTAAAAGATTGAAAGTTGATTTTTAAATGTCCTTGTGAAAGTTCTGATCCTTAGAATAAGGCAAAGGTTTTGAATCCTAAGCTACAGCCATGCACAATTACAATAGGTGTGGTGGAGAAAATAAAAATGTTTATTTGAGTCATTTAATACTCCACTACTCATTGGGGACAGGGAACTTGACTTGGAATTTTAAAAAGGGGCTTGTAAACATCTCTGAACCTCACAAGTAACAAGCAAAAACAGTAAACATGGAGTTCCTGTGTTCTTTTTTGTGATATATTTGATAAACCTGTTTATAGTTAGAATTAATATTCCCTATACTTATGGAGGTAATTTTGAACTATAAGTTTTTGTTCATTGTACTGAGAATGATAGAGGTTTCTGATTTGTTCACAGTTTGTGTACTCCACAATTTGAAGAGGTGTTACCTTTTTGTAAACATTATACAGTTATAAAACCTCCATGTTATTTTTCTCTGTAATTTTAAATTTGCTACTAAATCAAAATGTATTTTATAGGGATGAACGATATAATCGGCCCCCTATCGGTATCGGCCTTAAAACTGAATATCGGACATCGGCCACCCCACTGATATTTAACCCGATATTTGATCAGCTTCTGAGTTTCTAAAGTCTAAAAAAATATATATATATATATATA